CAGAGAAGAAATAGGCCCTTTATATATTTTTTTAAATTTTAGCGTGAAGGCTTTGATGGTTTTTCAAAATTTCCTTGAAGCAAAAGATTAAAGCTATCCAATATTGCTTTCATAACCATCAAAGGCATTTCAATGGCATATACAATTTTTCTCTGGCTAGCTATATACCTATATACAAGTACTCGTACATATTTCCTCTACTCTCCTAAAAATTCTAAAGTTGAAAGCCATAGCAATATTACATAGTTTTATTTAATATAAGAGAGTATTTGGATAGCCTATTAAAGTTATAAAATCTGACTCTATTGGCTTAATGCAACTGCTTGGTTGTTTCGCTAATCTCCAAATTTTTTGTTGTCGAACAGTTGCAACATTTTCAGATTTACTTATTTCGCTATAAGAAATGCACCTGTGAAGAGTATTAAAGCTTTGGTGCAGTCGAAATTTTCTTGCTTTTCATTTTGAATTTCACGTTCATTTCAAATTAGACGACCATCCAGCTTAATGTTCTGACTTAAACAATATTTTTAAAGACCGCTTTAAGGCTATGAATATTACCATCAGTTGACTCATCGAATTCTTAAACGCAGACCTTCAGGGTCACAAAATGAGCAACGATTATTATATTATTTTCTTTTACTTATTTGCAACCCAATTTAACGACCACCAAGCTCGCCTTTCACATTGCCCCACCGGCTAATAGCAATCACTTAACTCTTGTAGCAGATATTTTACATTATTTAATAGTTATCAAACGTCGTTGAGAGTAAGTAAACTGCTTTGGCTTCTAAATACAGGGTGCACCACTAAACATGGAGCAACCGATCGATGGTTAACATGCCTTGGAAACCACAAATCAGATTTGAGATTCATTAAACTCCAAGCGTTTACGCCAATACCATCACTAAGTCATATTTTCCTTATAAGATGAAATAGTCAATAGATATTCTTGGGCTCCCACACGCTACATCCCACAGTGAATCCAACTTTCTTTTTCTTTAACGAAATTTACCTGGACATTTTATGTGGAAAAGAGGTCCTATAATACCTGATTTGAGTTTCCCTCACTTCTATTTGTGGTGTAATTTGAAAAGTGACAACACTCCTCCACCACTCCACCATTATCGAGCTCGAAGCAAACATTCGTGACGATACAAACAGTTTTTACAGAGAATGTACCGTTTCCTTAGCCAATAATCCATGTCAAAATAAATGAAGATATCTTGTCAAATAAAAAATATTTCCATACAAGGACATAATTTTGTTCGGTCAGTTTGTATGGCTGCTTTATGTTATAGTGATCCGATATCGATGGTTCCGACAAATGAGCAGAGGACACGTGATGAGAAAAGGACGTGTGAAAATTTTCAGGTCGATATCTCGAAAACTATGGGACTAGTTCGCGTATATGCATACAGATGGACATGTCTAAGTGGACTCAGCCCGACACGCTGATCATTTATATACTTCTCAGGGTCTCCGACCTTTTCTTCTGGATGTTACAAACTTCGTGAAAAAACTTGACATGCCCTGTTCAGGGTATAAATATCTTGAATATTACAAGCGGTTCTGAGTTAATCAAAACCGTCATAAAATATGATTCACCCTGTACATACCTATATACTTGTACATTTTTTTACTTGCGAAAGTGTACGAACACGTGCAACCGAATGATCATCATAAATAACACCTTTTATTTTCCTATTGAAAATCTCACTCATTCCCAATTGTTTTGCGCTGTAAAAATGCACATTTGCTTAAGTGTTGAGAACTGCTTTTGTCAGCAGGGTCATTGATGGTAATAGTGGTGCTGGAGGTGATGGTGATGATGATGGTGACGATAACTGTAATGACTCTAAGGATGATGGAGACAATGGCAATAACGCTGCTGATGGTTTGCCTTTTCAATTTCGATTCTTTTCTTATCAGACCGCATTATGCATACCAGTACTTCTGGGCTCACATACCCATTTCCTTGCTTCACCAGTACATTCCACACAATTCTATATCGTTTGTTAATATTCCAATGATCGCCAAATCGTCCAATAAACGCCAAGAGTATCCTGGTTTAATTTTATCGATTTCAATATCAATACGATCTGCCGCCATGCATTTGTTGGCCTTTACCGACCACTAGCCACCAGACAAGGTGAGCGCATGGCATTCCATGTGGGATAAACAACATTTCTACCATTTCAACTGTGGCGCTATTAAAATGGCATAAAATATAAATTTATGCTGCGCAATGTCAATGGCCAGCTGTGTGAGTGGCGGTATGTTTTCCACCACATATGTATGTATTAAAGTGGCAGCAAATCATGTGCCAACCCGCTGCGATGCAATGCAGCGCGGAGCTTAGAGCTTTGAGCCAATCGATACGATTGCAACGATTGCTGCACTTACTCATCGTGCCGCATTCAGAGTGTGATAAGCATTTACGGTCACTTTTCTTGGCACTCATTTATTGTCCATTTCGACTGCGTCTGAGTGTGTATTTAGTGTTCTGTTGCACATCTGTTCATTGACGTTTGATGATGCGCTCCGGCCTTTTTCATTTTGTCTGCAATGGCGCGCCGCTGTGAAAGAGTTCCAATTCTGTTGGTTAGTAGTGATTGTTTTGAGAATCGTGCCGCTCCTGCAGTGCCGAACGTGATAAGCGGCATACGGCGAACTTGTGGTTGAGAGAAGAGTATGACACACTCACCTTCCATCAGGCGGTGAATGTGCGAAGAAATGTGTTTGTTAATAATGGAGGACTTTTTATGTTTTTCTGCATTTTGGTAGAGAGATTATAATACCGAAGTTCAATTCCCGCATGATCCGATCAGATAATTTCATAAATTAGGTTTCAAGATCTGAATTTTTTTAACTAAAATGCCAAAAACATCTTCACATGTATGCCAGCCACATTGTCTATACGAATGCCCAACCTTCAGCTGGATGGGACGTAATATATTCCACGGCTCCGAACACTTCAATAGTAAAATAAAGAGACATTGGGCAGCTGAGGTGCCCCTCCCTGTTCAACCAACCAACCATGCGAGCTAATTTATTTTTTCAGGGAAGACCACATTTGTTTTTGCTTAAAACGTCTTATCAAACTATACATTTGATATCGTCGTAATTATGAATCGAGTTTGACTCAAACTCAGTTTGTTTTAACAGAACTTCACCACCCCCTTCAACGTTCTCGCTTGAGTTGTGTTTATTTTTTTCGGCAATGTTTGGTTGACCTGCTATTTGAAGTAAACAGACAATTTAAAGTCTTAAATAATAATAAAATAATAAAACCTTAAAGTAAATATCATTTGAAAAAATTATAATAGGGGTATTCAGACCAGCTTTGTCAATACGTTAGTCAATATTCGGTGGTTTTTTACGTGCATTTTGTTTTCGTAAAATTAACGGACTATAGTTCTACCGAGTAAGGAAATACCAGCCTGGCAAGCTTGATAACTTTTTCGTTATTTGGTAACATCAAATCAGCTGATTGTTGCCAACAAAAGTTTATTTGATTCATTGCGAAAAATACATTTTCTACTCGCTACAAAATAATACAAATAAACAAATTTTTCAGGAGTAAGTATTTAACAAAATTGAATCAGCTGTTTTGGAACAACATATACCACACTGCTGAGATAGAGCAAAAAATATGTTCACATATGTTTTAGCGAAGTATCAACTAACGAATTACCAAATCAACATGTTCGGTCTGAATACCTCTAATGTATTTACAAAGCAGGGATTTTTTGAAAATTATTTTTGTTAAATTATTTAATTGTTCGTTCGCAAGTAAATAAAAACTAACATATACACGTTTTCTTTTTTAATACAAATTCCAAAATTCGTAAAATACCATAAGTAACTAATTTTTAGCAAATGCTGATTTTAACATGTCTGTATACTATAATAATGGATGGTGGTAATAAATAATAAACTAGAAATGGCAGTTGGCTACTTAGTTGCCTGTGATTGGTAGCCGATAGCCATTCATAATGTTTTTTTTTGTTTTCGTATACCGTCGCGGTATAAAAAATATTAAATTAGAAAATGAGTGTTGTAACGCCGACTTTAAAGTAAAAACCTACAACTCAGCAACTACTTGACAAATTTGAACTAATTTCAGTGCATAACAGTCACTTTCATATGTTATACGACACCGAACCACGACTTAAAAATCCTATAAATTCTTTACAATATATAAATTAAGCATAAATGAAGATATGAGAATAATATTATCAGACTTGTACCTTATCAAGCTACCGGATACTCCAAATTGTCTCAAGTTCCTATATATTGGGTTTAAAACTTGGTTCGCCGAGATATTTCAAGTCTTGCAAAAGGTAGACAGGAGAAAGAAGTGCAGCTTTGACAATTTGCGTCCTCCATAATATTTTACCTTGCTGTAGTACCAATACGACAGTGTCATTGCGTCAATATGAAGCATGCTAAGAGCAAGTAATTCAGTAGACACATTCTGGATGGGAACGATTTCGCGACCGCACATGTGCCAACGCTTGCTAAGTTCGGGCGAGGTACATAGCTCCAGAACGACAAAGTACAGTGAAACAACAGCTTTTTCCTGATGGAAATTAGGTAATGGTGCTCTTTCTTGCAATATTTATATATTTCTCATTTCTTTTTTTTCTAAATTTAGCATTTTTAATTTGCCTCTGTTAATTTCCTTAACATAGTTTAAGTGCCAAAATTTTCCATGCCAAAGTTGGAACCGAAAAAAAATTCTCAATAATAGTTGGTTATCGCTCCGAAATCATTTTAAAACCTGAGCTCTACTAATGGTAGTTGAAATCTCAAATAGTTTTGCTGTGTGATTCAAATGTAAATTTTAGGAACTCATTCTCAATTTGCTTGAACGCTATTATCAAAGTAGGGATTTACATATATGTATACCTGCATATGAATATTGTACTCAAATGTTTATGCATAGCATATTTATAACCTATGTACATTTTCATTGCTTTTTTCGTTCTTGATTGCAGGTACGCTTGTATTTCTCACAAATACCCGATGATAAAGTGCCATATGTGAATAGTCCGGGTGAACAATATCGAGTGCGACAATTGTTGCATCAACTTCCGCCGCATGATAATGAGGTAAGTGACAAAACATGAAAACAAATTTTTATTATATGCATAAGGTTCTTTTATATAAGTATATTTATATATAAATATACACTTAAAAACCATAATACTCGCACTAACACATATCCATTCTACAATCGTGCAACACCCAAACTCCCACGCCGCGTGACAGCACTAAAACAAAGAACTTTCCAAAGTGTCTATTCAAATGTGAAGCTTTTATCTGATTTAGTCAGCGACCCGAAGAAAACGGTACTCATGCGGGTATAACTGTAACTGAAATGGCTGCAGTTACGCTGAGCGCGTTCAATTATGAGGGTGGAAGTGGCACAATAACTTTATTTGAAGCAACAAACTGTAAAAAATAATAATAGACCATAAACATATACATACATACCTGCATTATATATTTCCTAACATTTTCTAAATCTGACACAGTGTCTTCACCCACGCACTTCGCTTTTACCATAAATAGCCAATCTGTGACAAGTTTCGCATAATTTGCATTTCCAAATGCGGCGCAACCCCACTAAACCCCGCGTAACTTTGACTTAATAACGGGCCTATGTATGTTTGTACGTTAAACTAAGTCCCATGTTATTAGACATTTTCGATGTTCAATAAGTTGTTAACGTTAAGAATTGCCCCAATTCCTTACTGTCCAGCGAAACTGGTCCACCGACAACAGTTTGCAGGATCGATCAGCATGTGGCACGTCGCACGGCGGCCATTGTATGTGATTCTTTCTTTGCATTTGTACCGTTGTACGCAAAGCAGCTAACATTTGCCATTTAAATCTAACGAGTTTTCACGCACTTCCCACTGTGTTCGGATGGCGAGTTCATCGCTGGCAAGGCTTTCATGGACGCATATGAGAATATCTGATCGAAATGTTGATTGGCTGCGACGTCGCTGGTTAACTGTATAACATATGTATTTGCATAACATATTTAATTATTTTTTAGTAAGTGTCTATATGTTTGACATTTACAGATGTACGAGCATATGTACAAGTTCTTAATGTGGTTGCCAGCGGGAGCTGGTTAGAAGTGAAGTTTTAATGAGACGCAATAAATTTAAGAAATTACTGTTATAAAAATGCAATGAGATAAATAACTCATCACCATTCTGAAGATAAGTTATTATTAATTAATTTTAAATGAAGTTGTTTACCAATTTTACAAAAAAAAAACAGATTTGTTACTTCTAACGCAAAACCTGCATCTCTTGGTTCAAGCCCAGGTTTATTGTACAAAAACTATTGTCAGCACTAGCTAGCGTGTCTACCTACTATTTAATATTTATCGTTTCAAACAAAGTGAGATTGGCGAAAGGCGTTGAAAATTACAGTCAATTCCGGTAAAGTCGAAATGGCTGTCGTGGAAGCCCTTAAATCATTGGGGATTCTTTATTCTTAAAGTATGAAAAAGTTGCGCAATGTAATATTTTCTTCCAGTACAACATGTGAAGTCTTAGATATGTAGGTGTATATAGATATATTAGGCTCCAATATAGATCGTATAGAAGTTTTACTATGTACGAAGTAGGACCCTCGTTTGGGGAAAAATTCCGAACTTGTAAACAACGCGACATTTCGTCTCAACAAATCTGGCAATATCGGACCATAATCAAATATACCGCCCAATGGAGCCGATTTTGGAATATGGAAAACGGATATTCCCAAAATACTTGAAATCGTTAAACATTTTCGAATACTTAAAGTAACGGATATAGACCAAGACCACAATTATTTTTATATAGCTGTTTCGACACCACTGAAACCACTTAGTGAAACATGATGGTAATTAAGCTACTCTTGCTAAGATTTGGTATCAAAATCGCAAATATTCGGTTCTGAGCTTCGTCTACTCTAACCTCAGACATTTATGGAACCACGTGTATAGTTGATTCTTTGTTTGCTAGTTTTTTTACTACCGATAACGATCTTTCTGTTTGGGGTTAGATTCCTAAGGTCGGCTTTCTCAGACTTAATGATTTACTTTATTTAAAGAAGTATTCGATAAAAATAAGCGTCGACAACAAGCACTGTTAATCAATGACTGCAACAGTTCGGTTTACTCACAGCTGTGTTGAATTTCATTAACCAGGAATAAGCTAAGGGTCACTAAGAACTTTTGCTATAGTCCGACTTCAATGGAAGCTCAAAAATTTAGTTTTGGGTTGACCAAAATACTAACAAATTTGTGCGGGTTTCAACTAAACACTGGTTTTGTTTGGTTTTTGTTTTTTAATTCATATCTAACATAGCGTTACGTTATGATGGATACTTCTGTGCATTTTCAAAAAAGGGAAGGTTTATGTCTATAATAGTCTAGCGAGCTCTTACAAATACCTCCGGTCTACAAAATTGTTCACTTCTAGCTCGAATAACCAGCTTACTGTATACAAAAACAAAACTTCACTAGTAAAATCACCGTTTAACTGTAAGGATCTCTACTGAAACCATAAACAAAACCAATTCACTTCAATGACTCCATCATCATCAACGCTTTCGTTGCTTTAATCCACAATTTACTGCATCTAAATTGAATTCCAACAACTGATTTGAGGCATAAATCACACGAGTCACGCCTACCACATGTAGTACCGTACGAAGTACCGTTGCAATCGCGAAAAAAGAACATAGTGCCCGCATAATTGTAGGGCATTGAAATGCAATCACAATAACGACAATGCGTTGCCAACATTTACCCTCGTATAAGGATGGCAGATTTGCTGTAGATAGAAATGACATTGCTGCCGAATTGACAATTTGAGCTACAGACAAAAGGTTAGAAATGCGAACGGATATATGTTGGTATGAACGCATCTATGCTCAGCAGCAATTCAGTAAGGCTGGATACACAGCAAAGTGAAGCACAAGTAACAATACCATAAAATAATAATTATTATGTAACTTTTTTAATCAACTTCCGAACTTTCGCTTTATTTGTAAGAATTTATAAATGGAGGGTTCTATACTTTTTAAACCTCCTTGTACAGCTAGAGGTTTTGGCATTGTCTGTCGAGAGGCTTCCACTATCAGAATATTTGGTCTACTTAAAATGTTTGCGTGGATAGCTACTCATTTAATCATTACACCAGCTATGAGAAATTTTATAATAATAATTTTCCACCGTACTATTTTCCATTTGGCAATTAGGGAGATGTACTTTCCTTTTGTGAGATCGGTAAGCATCATCAAAATTTTCTGGGGTTTATAAGAGGCAAAACGTCATTCGATATTGTCCTACCATAAGAGGTTAGGCTAGTATTCGATCGATTTTCTTTCCTTAAACTAAACTTTCAGGTCTAAAAAACATTATTCAGTTTGTAGAATTGTGAAAAAGAAATTTTCCCCAATCCAGTTCACTGCAGTGTCGTTTGGGCCAGTCACCTTTGGCTTGTAAAACTTCAAATGCGTTTTCTCGAAACGGCAATCAGGCGATGATGATACACAAAGACTATTACACGTACTAACTTTAATTTTTAAATCGTAGGTACATTTTTGTTTTATTATTATAACTTTTTTTATATAACAAACATTTTTCGGAAAGTTTTATCGGTAAAAATGTAACGCTTTTCTACAAATCTTTCATTTTGCGAAACATTTTATGCAGAGCTACAGACAAATTATGTATGTTAGCAAGCCTTATGTAGACGAATATACACTGAACAGGGTATTATACGTTTGCCACGATGTTTGTAACACACGAAAGGAAATGTCAGAGACCCTGAGCTGAATCGATTTCTTTATCTCCATCTGTCTGTCCGTCCGTCTGTCTATTTATATGTGTACTAGTCCCTTAGTTTTTGAGATATCGATCAGAAATTTTGCACTCGTTCTTATCTCATCAAGAAGCTGCACATATGTCATAACGGCCGATATTGAACGACTATAGCGTATAGCTGTAATACAACTTTTTCATTTGAGGAGATATCTTCAAGAAGTTTAACATGCATTATAGCCTAAAGCAACGGTCCAAACTTTAAATAAATTGTTCAGATCTGATTACTAGAGCATATAGCTGTCTTACAAACAGACCTAACTTCTTTTAAGGAATCTTTTGTAGTTGTGAAGGATATTATAGCTTTGTAGCAACCGAAGTTAACTTTTTCTTATTATACTTTGTTTCAGATAACACGTTCTCCTTTCTCCCAGAATAAAATTAGACCTTTTTTGAGGAGTCTAGACTCTCCTAAGGGAGCGAATTGTTCGTTACCGCTTTAAGAGATCTAACTATTTAGGTGTAAGGTCTAGGAATTTTTAACCTTATTTTAGAAATTGCTTTGGGTTCTACAGGCTTTCCGCTGTTCCAAATAGATATTGAACTTATTGAAAGAAACTTTTTCGAACCAATAACTATAAATCAAGAAATAGAATATATATATATATATATATATATATATGTATAGAACTATATTTTTTCCCAACTAAATTTATACCGAAAACCTGCTAAGTTATACTTACACACATAATCGACTCTCGTCTCAAAATTGGTTCATACGCTTCACTGTGTGTCTAGCTTAAGGCAAGCACAATCACAGCTCCCACAAGGCAAATAATATAATTGACAAAAATCGAGCATGCAACTGATTGCTAAGCTACAGCCACAACTCACAGTTGTTTGTCATTGAAAACACGTTCATATGTATTCACATTTGTAAATATATGTACATTACACGCTTTGACATGTGTCCACACTTGGTCATCTATGGTTTGACAAAGCAGTCTACTCTGCACATACCACCTGATCAGCGTACTGATACCCCTTTGCCCCGTATAATAAGACGCATGTTTTCGTGGAATTTGCATGCAGCAAAACAAGTCGGGAGGCGGAACGAACCGTTGTCAGTCAGTCAGCCGAATAAACCGAATACAAGTTGGAACCAGAACCACTATTGCTGCCGCTTCGCCACCGCACCGCGCCGCCGGAGTTACGCGAAAATGGCTGTCATTATTCAGGAGCACGTCAGCAATGTTGCATGCTACACATGCCACACAAATGATTTGCCAGCGAGCATGGAATGAGCAGCATAAACTTGCGTAATAATCAAAATGTGTACATGCAACACAACACTTACACATGTCCACACATAAGTGCACGCTTCAGCCATATCACCATTGCGCTTCACTTGATTGACCATCACCAGCAGCAGCAGCAGCGTGTTGTGCATGCCGCAATACCACTTTTGAGTGCCACAAAGCGTTGATGGTGACGAGACTACTCTTTCTCAGAAACAATTTTCAATTTACACGCACAAACACACAGATGTGTGCCTGCCACGAGGCGAAGAATTTTAAATTCTCAAATAAATACTTGACTACCGACCGTAAAATTATTTAACTTGTCACTTACGTGCCTACACAAAGCTAAATACAGTCACACACACACACAACTCTTTAATATATGGTTTATATGTTGAACACGACTCTTAACTGAGCAGCACTCTCCATCATCACCATTTAAAATTGTTGTTTATATATATATATATATTTTTATCTTTCATCTTCTTCACAGGTTCGTTACTGTCACTCATTGACGGATGAGGAACGCAAGGAACTTCGCCTATTCTCCACACAGCGCAAACGTGACGCTCTCGGACGTGGCAACGTCAGACAGCTGATGAGTGCGCGCCCCTGCGATGGTGTAAGTATTGTTTTTCAGCAAATTTATTAAAATAAAAATAAATACAATAAATAAATAAAAATATATACACAATTCACAAGCATATAATAGTTAAGCTTCAATTGTCTATCATGCTGAAGTGTCCGACCACTCTTCTTCGTCACTGAAGTTCGATTTACTTAGGCCATGCGAAGTTTTGTAGAAATAATTTAGTAATGACAACCAAAGTAGATCACACATTATTAATTTTGCTATAAAAATAATTTAATTTTGTGGAAGAGTGTAATATTTGCTAATTATTAACAGCGTGATCCACATTGTTATATCCTGAACAGGGTTATTAAGTTTGGAAGAAGCCTGTAATATCCAAAAAGAAACCGGATAGAGGCTATAAGATATAAATATATATAAATGATAAGCATGACGAGCTGAGTCGATTAGTCATATTTCCCTATTTGTCCGTCCGTTTGTCCATAAATACACCAACTCATTTATCCGAACCGCCGATATCGGACCACTATAACATAAAGCTGTCATACAAACTGAACGATCATAATCAAGTTCTCGCATGAAAATCTTTTTTAGTTAACAATATATCTTCACGAGGTATCTATTTGTTTGTCCAGTTAAACCCTTTGGCTTGTCACCCTCATCGTTATAAATAAAACACCAAATTATTCATTAATGGCAACTCTCATACATATATGTGAATCAGTAATCTGATAAAGATGCAACGTCAGCTTGGTAACTTAATCCCTTAATTCAAGTCTAACTTGGCCTTTATGAAAGTCATCAATGTGGTTTAGGCAGTAATCTTTTACTAAATCACTTTGGTCGATGAAAAAATAGCAAAAAATTAACCTAATAATAATAAATAAATTTAATTTGTTTTTTGTTTAATGGTAACCCTAATACTGCTGTTCGAAAGTAAATCCTTCTAAAATGTATTTCAATTAATAGCAATGTTTTATTAATTGAATTATATGGCAACTTTATTTATGTTTTAACCTAAAAATAAACCTTTTCGTAAAAAGCCAATCGATATGAAAAAGTAAACCTTCTTTACAGATCTACACTGATCAAAACTTATAAGCATATTATATTATTAAACATTTAGTTCCAAAGTACATATTCAACCATTTTAACTATGGCAAACTGTCTTTTTGTTGTCATTCCTCTTTCTTCCTCTTCACCAAAAGTAATTTTTCTTGTTCAATGAAGCTGAAATTTTTTAAAATATGTGAATCTATTCTATATGTTTGTCTATTTATTAGTTTGTCTATTTTAACTTTCCGTTAGAAGTGCATCGCATAAAATAAACATTTCTCGTTAATTTAGTAGTTCTCCCGTGTGCGCATTTTGTAAGGAAAGAGAATATAAATTTGCTTACATATCTTTTTGACAGCATTTCTCAAAATATACTGCTGCTGAGGTGACATTTGGTGGGCTGATATAAACTCCGGCACAACGCGGACACCTAGATCCTACTATAGCTCGACATATTTTATATCAAACCCTTGTATATGGTTGAAATTTTCCGTGAATGAAATCTATATTTGCAATCATATGAAAATGGCAATGCTGTTTGGGTCTGATTATGGTGGAAAGCAAAATTACGACCCGCAACGTCATAAACGAAACAAACTGTCAATTTTTTTAAGTAATTGTAAACAAAGCACGTGATTCATTTATATAAGGTTGTGTCGATAGCTCAAAACAACAAAATGTCAAAGTTTGTTTTGTATTGTTTTGTTTTTATGTTTCAAAAAAAAACTTTTCAACTAATGAAAATGCATTCTTTGAGTGATAACTGAATACAAATAGATTGTAAATCACACAAAATCATTAAAATGTAAACAGAAAAATCATGAGGAAAACATAAATCAGTTTTTTTGATATTAAGGATTAAAAAACTTTTTCGTAAGAGGAAGCACGTATTGACATAACCTTATATAATTATATCATGAAAAAGTCGTTCTCTCCTTCCGTTCATGGAAAACTAACGTGTCTTTCTTATCCCACAAACAGTATGACCAGCATGTCACTATTTATCAATATTATTATCGTGATGAAGGAACCAAGAGTTGTTCACCCATAATAAACCGGAATATTCACAATTGGAAATAAACATGGCTTAAATTAGATCATTCATTTCACTTTATAGATCCTGTAACAGTCCAAATAAAGTTCTCTATCTGCTCAATGTTTGGTATACTCTTTGCGAAAAAACTATTTTTTACATTTCTTGGTTATTTTATTATCTTTTACTAAAACTGGGGGTAGTAGTGAAGTTATCTGGGATTCCGAGACTTATTCTAGACTTATATTTTGTATCCCCCCAACTCACGCCTCTTTATTATTTTATGTACAGAAAATATGTTTACTGATATTAATCTATTATGAACTTTTTTGGGGATAAAAGAAAAATATTTGTATATAGTATTACTTTCAAAAAATTGTATCATTATTCACATCTATATGTTTATGTCGAAAACTCCAAGTCACTTTACTGATTCAACATTGATGAAATCCTTAAATTTATCTTTTATTATAATCTGAGTCAAAGTCATCTATGAGCAGTAGGGTGGTCGCTTGGTACTCTGAAAAATAGGTTCCTAGACACCTCTAAAAAAGTCTCTCCTAGTATGAGCTCTTTATTGTAACGGGAAGGTCCTCGGTTTTCTCGCTTCCAACTACCTGAAAAAATATCTCGTTTCATATATTATGCAGGAAATGGAATGCATTTTTTTGTTTGCTATTGAGCAGATATACTAAATTTCTCTTACTTTTCAAAGATTCTCAACTAAATCATCTTAAACCTCTTTTGCATTTCATTAATCAAACACTGGTGCTTATGCCATTTCCACCATTGCACTAAATGCAATTAGCCAAATTCAATAAAATAACATACTCAACGCACCAGCGCGTGAATATTTACACAAGACTAGCACACTTACATCCATATATGCAAATATATATATTTATAGCATAGCTACAAGCAGCTAGTGCATAGTAATTATATGCAGCATCGCATCGCCAGCAACTGTCAATTTGACTGTCACTGACATTGGCATTGACACAGGACAACACTGCGCTGCCGTGTCACTGTCACTTAACCGGCGTCGAAACGTGTTGAAGCCACACTAAGTAAACAAGCAACTTAACTCAATTGCACTAACAAGTGAGCAAACACACACAATCAAGCACTTAGTAAAAGTTGCGTGCGACTGGAAATTATCATTGCGAGTGTATGTGTGTGTAAGAAAATTATTTGGTATTGCATAACAAACTTAAAACGATGTACTTTGTAAATATACATGTGTGTGTGTATTGTGTGCTTGTTCCTAGCTTTGTCTAGAAACTGTTGGGCAACTCAAGTAAATTTTACTTATGTATGTGTGGTGTACAGACAAGTGTAGGTGACAGAGATTAGCACATAAAAGTAAAGATTTTCCATAATGAAAATGAAATTTAAATTTAAGCTAAACTATAGGAGTTCCTTAATAATTCGCTCCACTTTCTAAAAACCACATTTTTTATGCTTTCATCAGCATCATTTTTATTGTTCATTATTTATTGCATTTATCATTTTTCCCTCATTCCAGTGTGACGAATTGATTTCCACCGGCGACATTGCTGTATTTGCTACGCGCCTCGGTCCGAATGCCTCGTGGCATGCCGGTTGCTTCATTTGCTGCATATGCCATGAGCTGCTAGTCGATCTCATTTACTTTCATCGCGATGGCCGTCTCTATTGTGGACGTCATCATGCGGAGACATTGAAACCGCGCTGCTCTGCCTGTGATGAGGTAAGTTTGAAATTATTATTAACTTACATGAGACCCTTTGTTTGTAAATAAACAAATATAATATGTTAAAGTACTTACGCATATTGAACTTCGATTCGCAATTTTACCTAATATATATTATTCAACCTTTCCAAAGCAATTATTGCTCTTAATTTGAAAGTATAGTGAGTATATAAAAAAAATTGTTTGTCAAGTTTTGAGTGAAACGATTATATATAGGAAATAATAAAAGGTGTTATTTCAGTCACCTGGTTTTCTAGATGAAATAAAACGCATATAATTTAATGTTACGGCTAAGAATTTAGTTTTTTTTATAAAGCTAAGGGTTTGCCATTATGTTTTAAAAATGATTCCAGGATGATTTCTTAATTTTTTTCATAATTTCCAATAGACTCTAAGGCAAAACCAAGCACCTGAATAATTTATAAAAGGTTTCAAGAACTAAGTTACCAGATAATGTGACTAAATGCTTAAAGTAGTTAAAATTGGTTCAGTGCTTACCCTAGCCTCCATATACTTAATATCATGATTTAAAATTTCCGTTTGACTTTATATAGTATTTATCGGCCAGACCTCCCCCTAGCACCATTTATAGCGACCCTCGGGTTTGCTTGATACCGTATGCATCGACTTAGCGCAATATGTGTCAATTAAATTAAGCGAAAAAGTTTTAAATACCATTATGTCATTTATTGGTTATTCCAAGTAATATCTAAGGTATTCTTGAGCGGTATATTGCTATTAAAGAATAAAAGCGAAAATACCGCAATTGGTTTCCCCATTCAATTTTATTTTATTTTTCCTAACTCATATCTCGTCTTTTATCACTCGCACCTAGTTCTTATAGAAAACCCAAGCTTTTTGAAGTTACCCAAAAAAAGATTGTACATATTGCCCCACAACAGTTTAGGAAAACATGGTTCACGGATTAAGAAATTCTAACTGACCTTTTTATAACCCTCCGAATGAGGTTCCTAATAATCTTCTTCATATAATGCATATTAATTTTTTCTTCAACCGTAAAATCTGAATCTACAAATATCAATAATTTTTTCTTCTCTTGTACATATTTACCCCTTTCTTCATTAGACTCATGCAATATCAAGATTTTCTTATACTTTTCTGAATCGTACATATCCTCTGTCATTTCTGTTACTGATATATACGGAAGAGCAAATGGATTTTCGCCTACAAAAACAACATCTGCTTAAATTATAAGTCATCTACGGTAACCTTTCCCAACTGCAATCTGCGATTTAAGCTTCTTTCAAAATCTGCTTTCGATTGTAAAACCACAAGACATACGACTTTTGCAAACTTCTTCAAAGCGTGTGAACTAACAGCAAACACCTTCGCTAATTTTCAACTAACCACTGCACTTAGTTTGAAACACACAGCTGCAAGTGTTGCCACACGGACCCGACTCACATACTTAAAAGCGCATTGCACTCCCCAAAGATGTAGCCACGCATTTCTAATCAAAGTTTCAACAAAAGTTTTCGAACTGCACAGAAGTCCCTTCCTACTAGAACATTCGGTACTGCACTGCACTTATTGCGCATTTCAGGGTATTCTTTACGTCTTCTTTATATCTGCTTAACAGCTCACTTTTCAAGTTTCAAATTTATTTAACATTTCCGTTTCTTTCATTTCTCCTTGACGCAGATAATCCTCGCCGATGAATGCACCGAGGCGGAAGGACGTGCCTGGCATATGAACCACTTTGCGTGTCAGGAGTGCGAGAAGCAGCTGGGCGGTCAACGTTATATAATGCGAGAGGGCAAACCTTATTGTCTGCTCTGCTTCGACGCGATGTTCGCTGAGTACTGTGACTACTGTGGCGAGTCCATCGGTGTGGATCAGGGTCAAATGAGTCACGACGGCCAGCACTGGCATGCGACCGATGAATGTTTCTCTTGCAACACATGTCGCTGTTCGCTTTTAGGACGCGCCTTCTTGCCGCGTCGTGGTTGTATTTACTGTTCAATTGCCTGCAGTAAAGGTGAACCGCCCACACCATCGGATAGTTCGGGTACTGGCATGTACACCACACCGACACCGCCAACGCAACGTGTGCGTCCGCAGACGCGCATACCCAGCAGTCATGCATCCAGTTCACCGCCAATGTCACCAATGCAACAACAGCAACACCAGCAGAGCTTCAATCAAGCGATGTATCAATTGCAGAGTCAACAGATAGCGGCGGGTATAATTTGTGCGGGCACGGGTGGTGGTATAACCGTCAGCGGTGTGGATGAAGGCAGTGATAGACCGCGTGATAATTCTGTGGCAGTCAGCGGTGCAGACGACGTGACGCTTAGGGATCCATCGAAACAGAGCTACCCAACTTCCGACTCTGACGGCGGCGTGGTCAAGGATCTGGAACATGCAATTGGTAGTCACAGTGCTGGTGATTTTACAGACTTTTCAGGCGGCGCACCATCAACATCCTCACAGAATCTATCACCGCTGCTCTCACCCGGCGAATACACACAGTGTATGCCGCAACCGATGGAACTGAAATCTGAGGCTGCTTACAACTTTAATGAGATGTCGCTCAACTTAGATGCAGCTTGGCCTAGTAAGCCACCACACACCGGCTCACATACATATAACTTACCGCGTCATATGCAACATGTCTCGAAAATGGAAAGCTCTATGACCTCAAGTATGCCCGAACTGACTGGACGACAGGCCACACAACCAACGCCGGCTGGCGCGCACACTACCTCACAACAATTCGCACAAGACTATGGTGATCCGATCGCTTCACCACTACCCTCCGACATCGGTGAGCTACCAACACCGAATTTGTCAGTGGCTTCGACCGCGCTCCCGCCCGAATTGATGGGCTCACCCACAGCCTCAGGCGGTGAACGCTCAATTACCTCGCCGCATTCTACGCAGTCCGGACAGCCACCAATACATCCTGTGTCCATTCTCAGCGGCGCTTCATCCTCATCACCGATGAGCGGCGCAACGGGTGAGGTTAAAAAGAAAGGTGTACGCTTCGAAGGTTTACCACCAGACCCACTGCCGCGTTCGCGCAGCTATTCCGGCAACGGCGCGGGTACAGGTGGTGGCCGGGACCGTGATCGTGACCGTGACCGTGACCGCGACCGCGACCGTGATAGCAGCAGGAGTAAAGATTGCTGCAGCGGTGAACGTTCTTCCGGCGGTAGCAGTCATCACTCATCGCGCCGCAGACGTCGTCGCAAATCATCAGGTCATCGCAGCAACGGTTACCGCTCACATTCCACAACGCGCGCCGACACCTACGTGACAACACAACCGCTCTCCTCCTCCTATCAAGGACCACCATCAGTGTTGCAACGCGCTTCTGCCACAAGCAACACATCTGCAACACAGCCTGCCACGCATTGTGGCGACGATGAATCTGATGATGCCTCGAGCGTTTGTTCCACTTGCTCGTCATCTTCATCCTCCTCCGAAGACTACATGATGTATCAATTGCCACAACGGCGACATTATGGCGGTGTGCGCGTCAGCTATGTGCCCAACGATGCGCTTGCCTATGATCGCAAACGAAAGCCGACGGATATGAATGACAAGGACAAGAACTGTATTATTTCGTGATGCGTTGTTGTAGCTTGTGAAGTTTAGTGGCAAGCGCGTGTACGCGGTTGCGCGGCATCAGCAGCCATTAAGAGTTGTCAGTCAGCGAAGTAATGAAAATGGGCGGCAGCGCCGCTGGCAATCGAAGCCTACAATATTTAAACAAAAACAAAAAGTACAACAAAATTTAAATGTTTAACGTAATTAAAAAGAGGCAACAATTATTAAAAATTAAAAATATTATGGCTTCCAGGCACACTAAATCAAAGCGGCGGCGGGTATCAAAGCGTTGGCATTTACCATCTGACATAATTAATGATTTATAAATTGATGTAGGGATGAGTTAAATTGGTAGAGGAAACTAAAGTGTAATTGAAAGAAAACAAATTAATTTGCGTTATTTCTGAAGAAGTGAAGCAGATTTAATTTCGAAGCTTATATTACAATAAAAAAATGGAACAAAATAGTTTTACAAAATAGTAAACAAAATGTTTTAAAATGAATAAATTTAAAACGACTCAGCTATTCTAGCTCTATAGAAAATATAAAATTAAAGTTCTAAAGTGACGAAAAAAAATGTTAATATTAACTTTTTTAATTCTGGCTGAAAACTGAATTGACTCAGCTATGTTAAAACTTTTTTTATATTTATTGTTTTTAGTCTTTATACAAATTACTATCACTTTTTAATATAAATTTGACTTAAAATTGTTTAACTTTTATAAATACTAAATTTTCTATATTTTTTTTAGGTAATCCTCTTTTTATTTATATTGAAATTTAAATAAAAATCCCCGATTTTAGGGGGGCAGGGTTTGACACCCAAACCCCCCGTGTATCCGCCACTGTTAATATGTTATTGTCTTTACTATCTTTATGTTTTATCTTTTAGGCTATATATGTATGTAATACACTTTTCCACAGAAACCAAATATTTTATGCTATTAATTATAAAAAAAAATAAAAATATTAAATATTTATTTATTACTAAGGCGAAATAGCAAAAAAAAATATAAACTTTTTGTCCAAAACAAAATATAATTGTTTCAAAATTAAGGCCTGACGTAATACCCGCCCCTGTGTAGTATTTTTGATTGATATATATGTATGTATAAACATATATATGTATTTATATAATACTCGTATATACAATGTTCTAAGATAATTAAAAACAAATATTTCGAAAAATTGTGTAAAATTAAGAATCATCATATTTTTAATAAAAAAATATAAAGTCATTGCACATAATATATACCTAACCTCAAAGATAAAATTATAAAATGAGATTTCCCCTTTTGCTATATCCAATTGCAATGCAAAAACATGTACAAACAAGTCCATTATATACGTGAAAAAATAATTAAAGCAATAAAAATTAAACTTAATGAGTTACAAAAGCACTGAGAAACCTCAGCTGTAGCAATTAAGTCTTTCAATTAAATTATTAAAATAAACAAAAAGTAATTGTAAGTGGCATAAGAGTATTTAACTATTTTTAGACTCTACACACATTTTAATGAAAAAAATAGTATTATTTAAGCACACATAACATTTTAAATACCTACCATTACTATTATAAGTACTAGTAATTTCCAGTAATTAAAAGCAGTAGTCTTAAGCGATATTATACATTTACTAATACTTTTACAAAATACATATGTATATAAAAAGTTAATAAATATTTATTGACCTTAAAATATACAAACAAATTAAAAAATATGCATATAGCATATAATAAATCCTAATTAAATTAAAATGTATTTTTATGTATTTTTTAACTGAATTTCCAGTAATTTTACATTGTAAATTTTTAAGATATAAGATATTATATAAAAAATAAAACTTAAATTAAAACAAAAATTTTATATTTTGTAATTTCATAATAACTGATTTCAGACTTTATAGATTACAATTTCTGTCGCATTTTAAATACTCTCCCAACCGTTCTCTGTCTGCAGCAGCAGCTCTGTTTAATGCGGCAAGTTAATTACATACGCCCAATATGTTAATTAACATTCCCTGTTGGAACTCTCACATATTTATGCTAAATTAACAGTGTTGTGATTTTAATAGCATGCTCTGTTATCGCTTAACAGCGCGAAAACTGAAAAATCTAAAACGCAAAATCAGCATGAATCGCCTGCTGCTGTATCAGGCGCCCATAATCAGGCAGAAAGGTGCCTGCCAAGCGAAAAATCGCTATAACTTTGACAAATATGAACCGATTTTAACAAATTTGGTATCAAATAAAAGAGAAAAACATATCGCTTCTGTGGAATTAAAAATCACTTAATAAAAAAACAAAAGAAGTGGTGTTAGTTGCTGCCAAGATTTTAAGGCCGTTATTTATATATTTTGGATACTAAATTTATTGACAAGCCTTATTTAGTAGACACTTTTATATGAATAGACAGATATATAAGAGAAAAAATCGCATTTTAAGTTGAGCTTCCAATAATCATTAAAGTGCGTAAATTTAACAAGTAAACATGAAAGAACGTCCTAATATCCCTAGTGCTTTGGATAAACCATATATTTATAGACTTATAAATATAATTTATTAATCTATTAACTTAAGATATTTCAAACTTAACTTCTTCAAAATGTAAATTTCTATTTCTATGATCTGTTGAACTATTGCTTTTCAGATACGCTTGCAGTCAATTTACATGATGTCTGATGTCATGCGTGTTAATTTCCAGTTTTATTTTAATATGGTCAAATATTTCCTTACATTTTAAAAATAAATCCAGTACTTATACTGGTTGGTTGAAAAGTTGCGCTCGAAATGAAAAAATACTGTTTTTGATTTCATAATGAAACTCTTATAGCTCCCACCCACGCTCTCGACGAAACCAAAAGTGCGCATGATTGACTCTTACAGTATCAGGACCAAAAACATTATATCGTAGAAAACTGTAAAATATGGCGTATTTTCTCTTTGCTGATGTCCATCGTTGACGAGTGTTAAAACAATACTGAGTCAAGCAATCACAAAACTGTCTGAAAGGTTGTTCTAATACGAAATCTTATCTTTCTAACGCGTTTACGAACGCTGTTATACAACGCGAGATGCAGATTGTTAAAGCCATCTATTGGAAAAATAATGCCTTTCTTTTTACTAGACCTAATATTTACATATTTTTATTTCTTTAGCAAATTTAAGTATTATACAACATATATGTGCATGTAAAAAGTATTCACTTCTGACGGAATGGAGTGAGAGAATCAACTCCCAAAAGTATGCTTTCAAATTAACGCAATGTTTGCTAGATTGCTATGGAGGACAAAAATGGCTGTAGATTTTAATTTTTTGCTGAAATTAAGTAAGGGAATTTTATTAAACAAAAGTTTTAAAATTAAAAGAAAAAAAGTAGCAAATTACAACTCACAAAAATACTGCATTAAATCTTTCTACTTTAGATTTAGTTGTAACTTTAGTTATTATATTATGTTGCTTTGACATATCTGAATACCTCCACATTAGATGCTTTTAATAGTGCATGTATAATGACACCACACAAATTTATGCGATTTACTACACCACATCGATCACCAAGCCTGTCTATAAACGTCTATATAATTATACAACACTAAACTTAAATTATGGGGCAAGTTATAGCCGACCCCCTTGGCAATATTCATGCCCTGAAGTGCATGTACGCGTATTTACATTTGTGTGAACTTGTTTGTATTCATGCACATAATTAGTTATATAACAAAGTGCATAACAACAACCAGTTTTTCAAACAAGATTCAAATCTTTATAAAAAAGCGAATATTTGCATCTTGTTAGATACAGACAAAAAATCAACAGCTGAATTATCGCTCTCAGGGTACTCAGTAGAAAACATGAAATTCCTAGTTTATTTATAACAAATCACATAATTTAAATTAAAAGCACATATAAGTAAAGCATTGAAATGACAACCAAATGAAATGGAATTCAATTGCCCACAATGTGTGTTGTAATTTCGCACACAATTAAAAAGAGCCGATGTGGTTGCCAAATGGCCCAGAAAACATATAAATACACCCAAAACTGTTTATGCATACTTATATGTAGGTATTTGTATTTAGATTATATGTGTGTATGCATCGTGTAGACACAGCTGCAGTTGACGGTAATGACTGTCAAAGCCGGTGGACAAACGCACACAAAAAGCAATTTTGCGATCTACACTAGCTGGCAAATGATAATACCACGCACACACATTCACACAAACATGATAACGGTAAGCCTCGTAATCTGTAGTGAGAGTGCAGCGGAAAGGACGCATATAAATTGTGTTTTATCTGATGCTGGCGGCCAACAACTCCAATCGCTCGTCACTCACACCCATTTGTCGCGCACGTTTTTCTGCTTTGCTGACGGTTGTTGTTGTTGTTGCCATGTGGTAGGTGCAATTATTGGTCGCACGAATATTGCTGGTTAAATGCATGGTTATTTAGTTGGCGAATTGTTTGAGTGCATTGCATGCTTTATTTGTTGTTGTAAGTCATAGTTTGTGCGTGTGTGCGTATAGATACATATGTGGGTGATAAGCGCAATGGTCAAAGCTTGCAGCTGTTGGTATCTCCATTTAAATATGTATGTATGTATGTATGTATATATCTATATGTGTAATGGGGGTTTCCGTTCAGTTGTCTGTATTGTTGTTGTTGTTAACTGTTGCAGCGGATGCAGGAAACGGAAATGACATGTAATAAAACGTAAAAGCGCAAGCGGTAAATGAGCGAGTGTGGTTAATTCAAATGGTCATTTGTGTGAGTAAGTTTTTGTGTGTGTGAATTAGTAATAACTATATATATAAATTATAAATTGTGATGGTGAATTATTCTCTTGTGTAAAATTACTGATAACCAAAAATCAAAAATTTTTTAAAAATAAATTTGGAAACAAATATCAATAAATATTGCCAAAAAAGGTAAAAAAAAATGTTAAAAAAAATTTATAAAAAAGTATTAAAAAATTACAAAATAAATTCCAAACACATTATTTTCACTAAAAGATAAAATCTCTGCAATATTTTTTACTAAACATTTCTGTTTTTAATTTTCCTACAAAATATTTTTATTAAAAGCAAACTAACTTAAGTACCTTTTTTTCTGATTTAATCGCATTACTAACAATAAATATTTTAATATTTTTGTTTTTTAATAATAATATTATATGTATTCTTTAATTATTTGATATTGAGTGTGGATATATACATATGTATATTATTATTTGTAAAAAATAGTTTACTAAATTTTTTTTTTTCAAACTTCAAATACCAATTTCCTCTAACATTACACAAATAGAAAAAATAGTTTCCAAAACAACTTAAAACAAAAAAGTTAAAAAAAAATTAAAGGAAAAGAATTACGGTAGAGAAAAATATTAAAAAATTAAAAAATTGGAACAAAATATTTTCAATAAGAAAAAAAATCTGAAATAATTTGAAATATTTTTCTTCCTACAATATTTTATTTATTTTTTTATTTTTTATTTTGCAAACAAAAGATTTTACTAAAAGCCAAACGATACTGTCTTAATAACTTTTATTTTTGATATAATAGCTTTACGAAAAGTTAAAAGAGTTTAATATTTTGCAAAATTTTTTAGTAAATATCCTATATACCTATACACTGGTGGGCAAAAAAATGTTACCACGGCTGAAAGTTTTATATTACTGTATTGATATTGACCACTCGTGTATATATTGCTTGATTTTTATTATATAGATGGGTATCGATATACTTTTTTTTTGTTGTTTTTTGTTAAAAATAATTTACAAATATATATTTGTTTGCAACGCTTCAAACACCAATTTGTTCTAACATTTTTGCAGCACAAAACACACTTAAAAACAAACAAATTCTGCCTTGTCTGCGAAAATCTACAACTCTATTGCCTTTTTCAATTTCCATTTCAATTGCAATTGCAATTTCATTTTCGATTTTAATTTTAATTCCATTCGAAATGCCAATGCAATCTGGAAAATGTAATCTATTCGCTTTTGTGAGTGTTGCTGCACTAACTTGCAACGCAAATACAAATACAAACATCATCACGCATTGACTTATTTGCGCATATATAGACAAATCTACGTTGCTCCGTCTCCTATTATTGGCATTGTTATGCAACCAACCACCTCCACCGCCTCCGATGCTTTGTTGCTATTTTTGTTATCTTTACTGTACACCATTGTTATTGCTGTTGTAGCTTATCAGCGCCAGACATGTTATCGTAGCAAGCAGCCGCCACCTGACTCCACTTTATCAATACACCCGCAACTCTCTGCAACTCTCCCTCGTGCTCTCTCTCTCTCGCTCTTCATCAAGGCAGCACACCAGTTTGTGTCACCGGAATGCAATAAACAACATCAATATGCCCACAGACACTGCCACACCGCGCACCGTTTGTACATTTTTCCATACATTGTAGTTGTCAATGTTATCATTGTTGTTTTTGTTGTTGCACGCATTGTTATTTTTCATTTACATATTTGCAATGCAAGACTCTGCCATGTTTGTACATGGATTGGAATATGCAAAATACCAGCGGCAGCCATCAAGAGGCAAGCTAGCAGCAGTTGCAACAACAAATATGTGGCATGCCACAACTTGTGCCGACTCGGCAAACTGAAAGTAATTTCATCACTGTCTCGACTGGTTTCATTATTGCTCAACTCACCTTTCGTTCGATCCACATATATCTACTCTTACCACACACACACACACATACATACATACATTCACTC